TTAAAATATTCAATGCTTAGTTTATTGTTGAGCAGGTAAAGGAAAAATATTTTTGGCCCTCAAGTCCTTCTGACAATGATTTTGGTCCATGTGACAAAATGTTTGGACAGCCCTGYTTTAAACACACACGTCTGGTAACACTTGACTTTTTTTTCTTGCAGATTGTTAAWCCTCAGCTCATCTTTACATCTGAGATTCAGCCTCTAAAATGTTCTTTATATACATTATGACCTGCTGTTAATTAACCTAATTAGTTGTAAAATGCTCCTTCAGCTGTTTCTTTAAAACACTTTACATTTTTTAAATGTTATTCTGAGTTTTGTTGCCACTATAAAATTTAAAACGACCTTTTATAAAATTAAAATTCTTTATTTTGTTTATGTTCAAGTGTGTATAAACTTTTAGAGTTGTGCAAATTATTATTGTTTTTATCTACTGTATAAAGTAAACTTTATTAGAGATCACAAAATGCTTCACAAAATAAACACAATGTGTAAAATCATACAATAAAAGATTCAGCTAAACATTTACACAATTTTATGTTGAAGAGTCTGCATCAAGTATAATAATAATTTTTACTATTTCAATTTGTTGTTCAGAACCTAATATAAGCATTAATCAAATTTTATTTTGAAGCTTTTACAAAACTTAAAGAAAATCCAGTTTTCACCATTTATGACAGAAAAAAGCCCTCATCACGCTGCAACACAGCAAATCTTTAAACAATGAAGTTTGTGCTTAACTTTTGGTGTTTACACATCATGTCACAGGGCGGACCGAAGAAACCTGATGAGGATCTGCCATCTGAGGATGGTAAGTTTGTAAAAAAACAACAAAAAAACAAAACAAGAAACTAATTTAGTTTTATTATTGACACGCTGAACTGTCATTTAGAGTCTGCACAGTTCAAGAGACCCAAAAGACCTGTGACGAAGGTACGTTCCAGTCCTGCAGCAGGCAGAACCATCAGAAACATGTTCTTTATATGACAGGTAAAAAAAGCATCGACACACATTTGGTTTTGTTTCTCAGAGAAAAGCAGCTCTCAGAAATCTGTCAAAGAAGAAGAGGATTTAGAAGAAGCCTTTGACCCAGTTTGGCTTTAATATTTTCAAATGTTTCATGATTCAGTTCTTGTGTTAAGATTACCAGAGGACGGCCAACAGTGTTCTAATTTAAAATTAATACTCTGGGTACAAATAGAAGTAAAAATGTTTTATTTGTTCTGACTTCTGTGTGTAAAGAAAAATACAAATGTTTAGTTCAAAAATAAAGCTTGATTGTAAAGAATCTTTTGCTTTGTTCTATAAATCTTTACATTTTATTCTAACATGGCAGGATTGACCTGAAGATCAAACAGCAGCTGGTTCAGATGATTTCAGATTATAATTTGTGTAAAATACAAACAGTTACTGCTCTTAGTGAGCCTCATGAATCGACACGTTTTCTCGTGAACCCGTGCAGCTCTGGGTTTAGTTCCCTGAGTTCTGGTGGGCCGGTCCAGCCCGTCTGGTCCTGCCTCTGGCTCAGCGGTCCAGCTGCAGCTTCCTTTGGTTCTGAGGGCTAGAAGAGGCTGTCCACGTCGCCCATCTCCACAAACACGGTCTTCAGCTGGGAGTAGTGCTCTACTGTCACCTGGCCGTTCTCCCTCCCGATACCTGGAGAAAAGATCCAGACTCACTGTGACTGAGGAGGATTACGAGGGGATTATGACCCTCTCAGATTATAGCAGACAAGTAAAACAGGGCCAGACTTCTGGTTAAAGAGGCAAAATCTATGTTTTTAGCTGTTAAACACATTTTGCTGTGTACTTGGAGTCTCTAGGAGGCAGAAAAGATTAATTTAGTCTCTCCTGGTGCTGTGTAAAGACCTTTATATTCTTTTTGGGTCATACTTTTCAACCCGTTTAGGTTTTTTATTTTTATGATGTTTTCTATACCAGGGCTTCTTAAACGTTTTGACCTCGGGGCGCCCAGTCAGACATTACCAATGTATGGATCAAAATGATAATTATTCTAAATCTTCGTTACTAAATTAAATACACTTACATTTTAAAAGTAAAACTCTTGTCAAATAATCACAAGACATGACTATGGCAAAAATTTTTATATTGTAACCTGCCCATAACAATTATTTGAACAAATACAACAGTAAACAGACCACTCAGGCTTATCGACACAAATATACATATATATATTTTTAACATAAATAACAAAAATAGAAAATTCAATAAATGAAATTGTGGGCATAAGATAAATAAATTAAAAATGATTAAATGTTTCAAATACAAAAAAACCTGTAAAACTACATTTGATAAAGTACAAATGAAAATATAGCCTTTTAAAACTTTTGCAACCAGAAGCTGCTCTTCATATTAGTGACAAACAACAGTAACAACAGCTTTTTGACAAGTTTAAAGTTTCTTTCAAAAACATTAAAATATTAAACAATAAACTACAAAAAATAATTTGAAGAATTGCAAATTAAAATAGTTGTATCTGCAACTGTATTTGATAATGTTTTGAACGTTTAAAATACTGCATGACAGAACCAGAAGCTGCACTTCATATTAGTGACAAACTATGGCCTTTTTTGCTGAGTTTCCTTCATTTTTGCTTCTACTTTTAATTTAAAATAAGTTTCCATTTTTGGCAGGTTTCTAAGTTTCTTCTTCTACATATTAAAAAAGTTGTTAAACGTCTGAGTGGCGCACTACTGCTACTTGTGGTGAGAAAGTGTATTGCACCTTATTCAAAATCAATGCGGTCCCATGGCCCTCTGCGGCCCAAAGTTTAAGAATCTCTGTTCTAAACATTTCTGCACCGCTATACAGTCGTAAACCCCTCTATTAAACTAGTATGGAAGCTGGAGGGGGGCGGGGCCTCGTTTGGGTTTAAAGAGACAGCCTCAAAATGAGTAGATCTAAGGCACACCTGAAAGAGGAGCTTGAGGAGTTACAGTAAGTAAGAACTCAGACCAAAGCATTGCAGTTCCACTTCATAAAGACCCCAACTGATGGATTTAAATGTGAAAAAGAAGGATTTAAAAGCTTCATATGTCTACTTTAAATGATCCCACTTGGTTTAACAGTTAAACTGGTTATAACCAGTGTAATTTAGAAAGCTTCATTGGGACATTTGGACTGTACCTGACATTTTATATCCTCCAAACGGCACCTCCACAGGTGTGATGTTGTAGTTGTTGATGAAACAGGAACCAGCTTGGAGCTGTTCCACCACTCGATGGGCTCGCTTCACGTCCCTGCACACAACATGATCAAGTTATGTGTGTGTGGGTGAATGGGTTTTTCCTACAACGTGGGGACAACCCCCCCCCCCCCCCCCCAATAAAAAAAGCAGCCTTGTGGAGATTGAAGTGCATTGTGGGGACATGGCATTGGTCCCCACGGATCCAAATGCAAATTAAATACTGTTCATAACCCACTTCAAACTATCCCTTTAACCGCTTAAGCCCCCGCCGGCGGGGGCATAATCATATTTTTTTTGCTTTCTTTATTAACCAACGTTCTCATACATAAACATAGACATGTGTGGGATCTACAGAAATGTTAGAATATTGGCTAAAAACTCAAAGAAACCATTTCTACATCCACCAAACACAGATGAAACAACAAGCAGTTGAATCTATATGTAAAGAGGCGGCACAAAATGGCGTCTCGGCAAAACCCGGTCTTAGCTGTTCACCAGTGACGTCTTCACACACAAACAACATGTCTGCTGAAAGCAGAGACCTCACAGATTCTAAAAATATATTTTCATCACAATCCAACCAGAATTCACTCAACTAGCAGCAAAAAAACGAGAAGACCTAGCACTCGGATAAAAACACTAAAAAACACTTTACACGTAAAGAGCAGCGTCACTCTGGACTTCCGGTTGTGTCTATGTGCCATTTAAAAAATTAAATAAAATACAAAATGTGTTGTTTTTGCTAGTTAGCTTACTTATTTATCARKTTWTTWARKTTTKTWWMTWAAAAMYTTWAAAAAAMTCTACTTTTGTAGATGGTGCCAAAATGTACCAATCTGTGCCAAAGGAAAATCGCCTAAATTATTTTTTACTAAAACCTCTGTAACTTTGTTGTAGTTTACTTCAGCAGCATGASGTTTTGCACAGGTAATGTCCATAAGTGGATTCATGGTTTCCAAGAGTTTTTAGCCTTATTCATTATACTTTTGAAAAGGTTATATACTGTATAATGCAGAAAAACCTCAGGTGAGGGGAAAAAAAGCTGTTTTTTTCTATGTTCCATCCTCAGTATCTCTGAAACAAAAGCATATGATGTGATACTTACACTCCTGATGAAATCTCCCAAGTGTTAGCTTTATTTTGATATCAGGGGTATTTATATGGTGTTTTTAGGTGCTTAGATACACCCAGTTACATTTGGGCATGCATTTTCGAGCGCAAACTTCAAGAAAAGCCCTTGGGGCTTAAGAGGCTAAAGGCTGATCCTTCACAGAGACTTGTTGCAGGCCAACCTGGTGAAGACGCCTGCAGCCAGACCCATGGTGGAGTCATTGGCTCTTTGCAGCACCTCCTCCTCTGTTTCAAACGACAACACAGACATGACCGGACCAAAGATCTCCTCCTTCACACAGGTCATCTGGTCTCTGCAGTCACCTGAGGTCCGAGAGAAAAAAACAACAACAAGGACGAGCAGTCTTGACTTCAGAGTCACTGATGTTTGTAGTTGTGCTGTAATTAAACTAAAACAGAACTAGAGAATATGAACGTCTGTGAAAACGGTGTGAACGCTTAAGATTTTTGCTGACAAGAAGCTGAACATGTTTTACAGCAAAACTGTTAATATGAGATAAACCTGAGCAGCTGACTTCTGCTGAAATAAGGAAACAAAACTAAAGAAACTGTAGAAAAATAGCAAAATTGTGTCAAAGACAAACAGAGCAGAAATGTAACTAAAATATTAAAAAAGAAGAAAATGTTTAAACTACAGAGAAGTTGCAAAAAGCAAAAAAATTGAATTAAAAACAGATAAAAAAATGAAATTTAGACAAAATGCAGAAAAAAAGCTAACCTGTGACCTTGACCTTTTTATTATGTTACCTTATATTAGGGGTCAGCATTAGATCAGTTGAAAATAGATGAAAGGAGAATAAAGCTCGCCTTAGCAGAAAAACAAGAAAAGTACAGAAAAGTTGCAAGTTGTTGTAAAGCAGCTAAAACAGCTGCTATTAGCAAAGAATGGCTAAAATGTAGCTGGAAGAGCTAAAATAAGCACAAAGAAACAAGAGTATGCTTGCTGAAATAAGCAGTAGAAAGCTGAAATTATCACAAAAAGGTGAATTCAGCTGAAAAAAGCTCATATTAGCTAAAAAGTAGAAAACACAAAACAGCTGAAGTTAGCAGAAAGCAGCTTAAAGAAACATAAAATCCTTAAATTAGCAGAAAGAAATAAAAAAGTTTGACAGAAGTTGCTCATTTCAACTTCTGCTAAGAATGGGCCTCATGCAAGAACATGTTTGTATTCTTATCCTAAATTTCTCTTACTTTTGTTCGTACAAAGGGTTCATACGAACATGTCACGTCAGATTCAACAAACTCTTCTATCTTCAACAAACGACTCTATCTTCAGGAAAAGTGTGTAAAT